TTTTGAAAATAAAACTGCAAGAAACTTATAAATCATGTCCCAATAATTACCTTCTAATTATTTCCACGGAATGCCACTTCCGACGTCGAATCCATTTACCAATTACAGAAATCGCTTTGAATTGATAATGATTCGAGATCATCATTAAGCAATAGAAATTGCGCGTTTCGTTTCGATTTTGCTTTTATTTCGTGTTTTTTTTTTTGCATCGTATTATATATGTTTTTTGTTTGTACGTCTAAGAAGAAGTAATTGGAATGTTAACGAGCTTTTGCTGTGTTCCTCATTTGTGTTAATTAGAGGAAGAATTATTTATAATATTCGAATCGGACGGGTTTTGCAAACGGCATCAGAAGAGCGCGAATAGAAAAAGGATGGATGAAAGGATATTTTCGAAACACACCTAAAGTGCTCCAATTCTTCTTTTGCTGCTGTTATTCGATGGTCGTCTGCAAGAAAGACTTTCGGCGATAAACTCAAGTGGTAGTTGATACATGCACTTCGATTCAGACACATTCCCAGATGACTCAGAACTCTTTGGGCTCAATTTAAAATTGTCCCGCAAAGCGCGAAGCGCTTGCATTGCGCACGAATTTCGTTTACAAGGTCAACGCTTCAATTAGATTTTAATCAACTATTGGTTTTAAGAATTTAGATTAGATTATAATAATAATTTTCAGCGTTATCTTGAGATTTTCAAAGGTATTTCTTGTTGTACTTTCTACTGGTTTGTTAGCAACTGTAGCTGCTGAAGAAGTGAAGTGCATGTCTGATTATAATCACATGTAGTGTGTTGTAATTAAAGATTAATGAAATTTGAAAGTAGAGAATAGCGGAGTCTCGGACAAAAGGGGAAAAAATAGAGACTAGGAGCTTCGAGGAGCAAAACATTTCTTTCTCTATTCAAGAACACAGAGAAGTAATAGAAGATGAAGAAGAGAAGGAGGAAAGAAAGAAAGAAAAAGCGAGAAGCAGAAGTATGAATTTTGAATGGGACGAATTGAAAGAGCAAGAATAAAAGTCCACCCAACCTCCGTTACAAAGTGCATTTCCTCTGCGCGTTGGATCGTGCTGCAGGAAAAAAGGAGAGATTAGGAAGAGGTTGTTTGGTTGGAGGAGGAAAGGCGGACTGCGTCGAAGAAGAAGTGTAGTGGTAGTAGTAGTAGTAGGTAGTAGTAGTTGTGGAGAGAAATGTAAAAGAACGAGGACGAAAAAAGGAAAGAAGGGAGGAGGCCGGAGCAGAGCGGAGCATACAATCTAGGCTCACAAAGGCCTCTCCTGAATAACGCGTGCATTATAACCGGTGCCAACGAGCAGATTACTTTCATTTCCTGGTACAATTTAAATCATGTACGGCAAGCGCCTTTTTCTTCATCTCTCCTCGTCCTTCTTCTTCTTCAGCATCCACTGCTCCTTCTTCCATCAAACGATGAAAATGCAGTTTAGAACGGCCGCCGGCCACACGCCAATGGAACGGTCTTCGTTTTCTTGTTGCTCCTCTTATGGACGGACGCGAGAGGATGAGGATGTGGATGGAGAGTTGCGGCAGCATGAGGATGACGGCACGCGGATCGCGATAAAGAAGCCATAAACGCGAGGAGAACCGACTCTTGGGATCTGCAGCAGGAAAAAAACGAAGATCCGACCCTGCGGGATGTTCAGCATTGACCCCGTTGGCTTCATTTTGGATGTGGTGGACGTGCGGACGGATCGTGGACCCGTTGACCGTTCCCCGCCTAAACATAAATCAACCAAAGTCCGCCGCGACCTTCAAGAAACTGCAACAAGAACAAACAGCAAACGCCAGCAATTTCCTACAACGCTAAAACCACCACAAAATATATAGTCCAATTACATTCATTTCCTCTTCAACAGTTCAACCACTCTTTCCATGCGCATGCATGGGTGTTTCCAACAGTAAACCTCATTGCAAACTAAACGAACAAAACATCTTACAAACAACTACTATGTATAATAATAGATATTTCTGCAGCAATTCTTTAATATTTATCAATTATACATTTAAAAAATATGTATTAAACATAACTTTCTACAGTAAAATATAAATTAATCATTTTTCTTGTCGTCGAACATTTCAGAACGTACGATCTTGTGACGCGCCGTCCGCTGATAGAGAGCGTACCAATCGCTGAAGTACTTCTCGCGGTCCGCCCAAATTTGAACCTCCTTGTCCAGACTTTTGGAATTCAGGACGCAATCGTGATTGCAAATAACGGCGTCGCTTAGCTTCAACTCGCGCTTCGGATTGTAGCGACGACGGGCGTCGCGCAACTCTTTGTTCGGCGGTCCCCAGGCGTAATCCGGCTTCATAAAATATTTGGTTTTCTGAAAGTAACATACAAAAAGAAAAAAACATGATCTTAATGGGAAGACGAACAATGAAAAATATACACAAACCTTTGTTTTGTAGCTGATGGTCTTGGTGAAAAAGCAAAAGAATATTGGACTGAAGATTATTATGAACATGAGCAGATTGTAAACGAAGACATAGAATCTGTGGCGACCGATGAAAGCGTGCAGAGAGAAGGTTACTGAAAGCACCTGAAACGATTCTTGGTGGTCACAAAAGAAATGTCACAATGTTACGATGATTGCTCACGATGATGGCCACCGAGTATAACTTCATGGCTTCCCTCCAGTATTTAGTTAAACGCACTCCGAATGCGAATTGGTAATCGTTCGTTATCCTGAGCGGTGTGTAAACGATAATGTATACACCGATGAGCACGAAGATTGTTAAAGGTGGAAAGTACATGGTTTTTTGGTAAAAGTAGATGTAGAGGAATTTGTTGGTGAGCAGTGGGGTATTGAGGATTGCGCACAAACCGACGATGCTGGCGCTTATGTACTTGACGTGTACCATCTTGGGGAAGATTCCGATGAGGGCTTCGATTAATCCGTTGAGACTGTAGAAGCTGGCCATCGTGCCCCAAATCGTGAGGACGCCGTAATAAAGCGGAATGACGATTTTGGAGCCGCTCCAATTGCTCATCATCTCGGGAACACTAGCAAACACGGAATTCATTCCTAACATCGTTATTAATTACTGCGTGATTCCAAACACAACTTAAACTCACCATCGCCCATCACACAGTGGGCGTTGTTCATGTGATAACGTTTAGCTAAATCTGAAGTTGCCATGGAGATCCAATTGCTGACGATGACGATTACCAAGCAACGCATCGAAAACATTATCGAAGCTTCGACGGTTGGACGAGATTCGGTGCTGATCTGCGCCGAGTAACTTATTATATCACCAGGAAGAACTTCCCTCACTGTAACCAAAATCAGTTGCACCCAAAACTGCAATAAAACATAACTCATCAAAATTATTCGAAACAGCTACGCGTATTACTTTAGAGTCGATCATTGATTCCAAGCCAGGATGAAAAATGGGTAGTTTCGTATGAAGATGTCCTTGTATTATTGAGACCCACAGGGAGCAAATCAGCATGGAAATCCACAGGAAGATCATGAATTTAGACATGGAGTTCATCAGCAGCTTCGAAACGCACATCGACATAACGACCAGCCACAGTACCAAGCTTGCTACGATCCAATAACCGTTCATCGCATATTGACCGGTCTCATTGAAAACAACCTCGCTGCAACATAAACTCCTTCTTTTTTATCGAAAGTTCTAAATTAGCCTAATTTCGCACTAACTATAGAAGATCTAACGAGGGATAAACAAACTGCGACCTCTCGAATATGGTGTAGTTGCGGATCTCGCAGTTTCCGGTGAACATTTCCGTGCTGCAGTAAGGAGAAGCTTCCGGTCTGGAGCAGTAATTCAACGGGATGAGCATCGAACAGAAACCCAAGTACACGGCCAAAGATGCCAGAGCCATGTTCATGATGATTTTGTGCAGATTGAGCACTCCTATCGCGAATCCGACGCCTGAAAACTTCACTCACAGAATTCCGCAATCGATGTTAACTCGATGGATACCTTTGAAGGCCGGGACGCATAACCAGAAGGTCATGTACTTTTGCCTCGTGTAATTGGACAGGAAGAAGAACAACAGGTAGAGCGGCGTTGCCAAAATGTAGGTGAGTATTATGTAACCAAACATAACGAGCCCTCAAAATTAACAAATTTTATATTTGTTTCCAACGAAGCAAGAGATATTCACTCACAACTTCCGTAACGCATGTAGAGATCGATGTAGTTGAGAATTTTGAACAGATCGTTTTGCAGCGTCAAATTGATCACCTGGTAATGCGAGTAACTCAGAGTTTCTTTGAAGATTCCCCACTTTTTACTCTACATCAAAACATACGTGTATTGCTGGGTTTAAAATCTAATAGCATTTACCAGGAAGAATTCGTGCAAGTACTTGTTCTTCTCCTTGTGCTTGGTCTGCTGCAACTCGTTGAAAAAATCGCCATACTCTGTTCTGTTGTATTTGTACCTTTCCTCCAAATAGATTTGAAGATGTGTCGATTTGTCTTGTTGCGGGTTGTACGTGTTAAATTTCTTGGTAGCTCTAGGTTTAAAGAATCGCAACTCGTCCATATTTCAAAAATCTGATTTATTTATTATTTAAAGTCAAAGAATATATACAATAACCATGGAAACTTAAAGCATTGAAGCGATTTCTCTCTTCAGCCGCTCGTCGTTCTTCAGACAGACGTGCATGCACGCTTTTTCCTGTCGATATACGTACATGTTCTTCGTGTTGAACAATCTTCGGGCTTTCATAGTCGAATGTACGGGAGTCCAATCGGGAGAAATGTTGCAACCGTGTTTCTATATGTAAAATGAGAATAATTGCATTTTTTTAAAGCAATTTCGATTGTAACTTACGCGATTTAAAAAAGCGCCTATGGGTATTGGCATCAAACAGATTAACGCAAGCATGTAAAAGATGTACACAGACTGGTTGTAAGTTCGGTACATTTCGAAGATGAAAGCAATGGAAATCATCTGACAGATTTAGAGAAATTAGATGTTTTCTATGATTTGTTATGTATAATAATACCAGCAGGAATACGAGTGTTATCTTCAAGTTTTTAATGGCGAAGAAGTGTTTGTTGTGCAGAAAGTAGTAATCACCGTCGATCCGGTTCAATCCGTAGATCCCGAGACCCATCGCCGAGAAGATCAGCAGAACCATGCTGACGACGTAGAAGATTCTCAATTGGATGATGTACATCAATCTGAGCACGTCCACGTAGATGATTGCTATGGAAACGGAGGTCCACACGAATATGAAGATGATCCTCAGGGAGTTTCTCAAACGATAAATCAATGGGAAAGCCTCCATCAAACCCATCAAAATGCATTTCATGCAAACGGACATGTAGAGGAAGCAAATCAGAGCGAACGCTAGATAGTACAACGGCACCATAATAGGGATTTCTCTCAGGCATTCGGTGACCATTATGTACAGCAGATAAATACCTGCAAGCAATCGTTCATCTTTCGGCTAGCAAGCAAAGAAATAATGGATTAACCGTTGATGGCGCTGCAAATGTGCTTGGGCATTCGGGCAAGTTCCTTGAATCCGGCCGCAACGTAAGGCACCAATATGATGGCGTACACGATGCACATGAACCTGATGGCCAATATTCCGCAGACGAGTTCACGCAGAGCTGTAGTCTTCGACAGATAACCAATCGTCGGCCAAAGGAACGGCATGTCCTCTTGTATTATATAAGAGACAACCTGAATCCACATCTAGAACAAACCAAAGGAAATTCATTGGAACGTTTCGTTTCATTGCTTGCAGCTCCTTCACCGAACAATCGTTGAGCATTTGAAAATCGGTGTTCAGCGCGCCAGGATCCGGCGTAAACTTCAACATGATGTAAGTGTACACGACGAAGCACAGTCCGATCGCGTAACCAAACGACACGTACATGATCAACTTCGTTATCTTCGAGGAAACCAGCACCGGTAAAATGACCATGATCCACATGATTACTGTATAGTAAGTGGTGGAGAAAACATGTTTACTCAGCAAGAAAGCCAAAGCGTACGATTTATCTTGGGTAACAGTTTCCAAATACTTGAACGATCCAAAATCCATCGCCTTGAACATGAACTCGTACCCTCTGATGCATTTGCTTTCAGTTTGATTCTGAACGTCGTTTCTGCTCTCAGGTTGACTCTCGATATAGTTCTTGCATTCTTTCTCTGCCATGCAATGCGGCCAGGGAATCTCGAAAACCGTGTTTATGAACATGTTTAGGAAAATACCACCGGCGCATGCCTCCGTCGCCACCTTTCCCAATTGGAACATCATCACCGAGTAACCGATACCTGCAACAAAACTAATTTCGCTCACAAAAAATCAAAAAAAGAGAGAAACACCTCGAAATATTGGCAGAAAATTCCACACGTTTATGTAATTGGAATTGCTGTATTTCGCGAGGAAGGTAAAGGTGAACGCCATCCCTGCGGATATTCCTACAGTCGTTACCGCAGCCACAATCAAAACGCACACTAAAATCAATCATATCAACAGCAAATTACGAAACGTACATAAAAACTTGATGAACTAACTGGCGTTGAACGATAAACTCAGGTTGATCCAACCAATAATGTTAGTTGTGCATAACATCAAGGTCAACGCGTAAAGAACGGTTAAGAATTTCGATTGATGTACCTTCTTGTACCGATCGTCCGGTCTGCCCTGAAATCATCATTTAAACTCTACTTTATACAATAGATAAATTAAATGTTTTCGTTTATACTATAAACCCAGCGGTCGGGGAACTTTTTAAACCATTTTCCCTAAAATATTATTGCGTAAGTCGATATTACCCCCCCATTCTGCATTCGTGAAACAATCACTGTAAATTTTAAATAAACATTATTTATTGCATTAATTTGCATTTACATATTTATAAAAAAAAGAAGTTACATAAAATAGTAACAAATAGTAATAGACAAACAAAATAAAATTCTTAAATTGGAACAAACAAAAATTAATTGAAAACTTTTCCCCTTCAGGTTTTGGAAACATGATGTTGCTTCTTGTTTGATATAATTACTTTAAAATTGGGACTTTTTGATGTAAGAGCAATTTGAATACAGTCTTCGGCGTTTAATCGATTTCTGTTTTTCGTTTTTATTTTCATTAGAGTGGAAAATCCTTGTTCACAAAAGTAGGTTGTTGCAAATGGCAGCAATTTTTTTACCGCCTCCTCATGTTCAATTTTGAAAGCCTTTGACAACCAAAAAGACGACAAGATTTGGTTTGGTCTCAAATTGAATACAGTATTGGATGGAAGTTCAAGAATTGCCTCTGCCAAACCTGGAGGTTCTTCTGGTATGTTAGTAATTTCACATTTAAATGGATCTACATGAATTGGGTCACAGTTTGTACATCAAGATCTGAAAAGTAGTCAGAGAACCGCTCTCTGAGTTTGGTTAGATGAAATTAGAAAAATTTCTCTATTACCCAAAAAAAAAATCATTTTTACCCCATTTTGGGTAATTTACCCCGGTTCCCCGACCGCTGGTTTATAGGGTTGAGAGAAAGAACGTGCACGATTTAAGCAATTCCGCTGACACTTAGACTCACCCATAAGAATATTTTTATTCTGGTGTATATCTTTTTTAATCTGCTCTGCTCGTCGTCCTTGAAATCTAAACTGGAGGCGGACAGGTTCAATACCTGGGCTTTGTAATATTTGTAAGCCTTGGATCGTTTCCTCATCATCAACTCGTCGACGCGCGAAAACCAGATGAACTGAAACGTGAATTGCGATTATTTGACTGTTCGTAATGATGACATTAGTTAACGCAATGCGATTTCTCGATAAACTTTCTTCTGTTTTTTATATTATTTTCTATTTCGTTCATTTTTTACTGTATGTATCTTTTTTTATATATTTTTGTTGTTGTTTTTGATGTTCTAGTAATTAAATTGTTTATGTTCGCGAAGGAAACTTAATGAATTTATTATTTTCAGGTCTGTAAGAAATTTCCTCTCGACTAATTAATAACTTTTTGTCGACTTTCCATTATTTTCTTCGCTCGGTCGTCTCCTCGTGCTAATTTAATTAGTGTGTGTGTGTGTGCGCTGCGAAAAAGCAGGTAGACAAGATTTTGAGTCGCTTCGTAAATTGAATATATTTTGAACGCAGTTTCTTTCACCTCGAACACAGAGAGCAGCAGCATACCTTTCTCCTTCTTTGCTGGTGGAGATGCGGAATATAGTTCGAAATGATGAAGTACTAAAAGGATGTTTTGTATTCATTAGGCATTTGATTGAGACAAGATTGTGGATCGGGTCTAATGCAACCGGCGTCTTTGGAAAAGGTTGTAAAACACTGGACAGGATGCTGCGAACGAGATGAAAACGTATACTTAGCGTCCAGATTTTTGCAAAACGCGTGCACAGTTATAAATAATTCCATCTAGCCGCAGTATTACCTGTTCCACGAGCGCGCGGATTACGACCAACAAACCGACCGACCGTCCTTCTCGCACTCTTTGGATTCGCCTGCGTGTGCATCTACGTACGACCACAACGTTCTTATATGTATAGGTAGATAGTTAGGTAGATGTACGTGGATGGAGATGACGGTGAGCGGCAAAAAAGGCACATTTTAATAATATCTAGCCGGAGCTAATGGCGTCTGCAGAAAAAGCTAAATAAAATCCAAAAAAAGAGGAAAAGATGGAATGGCACAACGAGATGGACGGTAAAAATGCGCTCACGCAGGACTTGAGTGGCTAATCATATCGGTTTCTAACTCCTCTTCTACTCGCTGCTTCTTCGTTCATGAAAAACGACGGACGGAGTAATCAGGAGATGATCATTAAAGTTCTAACTCTTGTTCTGTCTCTCCAATACTTGATTACACCTCCTTGTGAAAGTCACTCATCGCATCTTCTTTCAAATTGAACGGTCATAAAGTCACCAATTCATTCAATTGTTGCATCAACTCTAATTACAAAATTAGATTCCTGTTTAANNNNTATTATATAATTAATTTACAACTTATAAACATTTACAAATGTGAATCAATTGTAGAAAATGAAGAAGAAAAGAAAACCAAATAGTTTAAGCAATTTCCACTCGATCTGTCAACATTCATAAATTAGCAATTGCTTTCGTTCTTTCTATATTACTTTATTAGACAAAAAACAAGCTTTTTCTTCATCCATTTAGAATTATCTAAAATATACGAGAGAAATAGTTCTAATTACAAAATTAGATTCTTGTTTAATAGCTTATAACTTTATATAATTAATTTACAACTTATAAACATTTACAAATATGAATCAATTGTAGATAAATTAATTAATTTTTAATTATTTAAAAACACCTCCATGTGAAAGTCACTCATTGCATCTTCTTTCAAATTGAACGGTCATAAAGTCACCAAATTATTCAATTGTTGCATCAACTCTAATTACAAAATTAGATTTCTTATAACTTTATGTCGATCTAAATTTAAATATTTCAAATTTTCAATAATATTATATAATTAATTTACAACTTATAAACATTTACAAATATGAATCAATTGTAGATAAATTAATTAATTTTTAATTATTTTAAAAACGAAACTTTATTAAAAGTTTATTTTCTCACAAAACTTAAGATTTCAATATTAACTATTCTAACAACAACAACATATAGAAATCAATGTATTTTATAAAACTTTCAAATCTTATAGTTCTCGCTTAGAAATCTCATTATTTATTTAGTTTTCTCAACTATTTGGGAGTTTATAAGTTTTCCCAAATTATTAGTAATTTATTTGGATTTGGGTTCTTTAATGTTTTAAAATGATATTAAATCAAGTCATGAAAACCGAGAAGAGTGTTTTTGCGATTTGAAAATATGCATTTCCTATTTCGTATCACTGCAAAAACATAAGTAAGAATTGTGTGCAGCAAATACTAAAATCATTCTTGAGACTTGATTTAGATAATTCGCCTTAGATCTTTTTGCAGGATTAAGCAGGATTTCAACAGGATCGTTACGCAAATTCCTCGAAAGTCTAATGTTTAAAATTTGTCCTAAATTATAGATTTTTATGATCTTTTTGTTTTGAAACTTAACAAAGAAAGAAACCAATCGAAAATATGCATTTCCTATTTATTTCCTATCACTCCAAAAAACATAAGTAACAATTATGTGCAGCAAATACTAAAATCATTCTTGAAACTTGATTTAGATCAGCGGTCGGCGAACTTTTTTAACCATTACCCCAAAATATTATTGCGTAAGTCGATATTATCCCCGACCCCATTCCGAATTCATGAAACAATCAATGTAAATTTTAAATAAACATTATTTATTGAATTAATTTGCATTTACATATTTATAAAAAAAAAGTTACATAAAAATAGTAACAAATAGTAATAGAGAAACAAAATAAAATTCTTAAATTGGAACAAACAAAAATTAATTGAAAACTTTCCCCCTTCAGGTTTTGGAAACATGATGTTGCTTCATGTTTGATATAATTACTTTAAAATTGGGACTTTTTGGTGTAAGAGCAATTTGAATACAGTCTTCGGCGTTTAATCGATTTCTGTTTTTCGTTTTTATTTTCATTAGAGTGGAAAACCCTTGTTCATAAAATTAAGTTGTTGCAAATGGCAGCAATTTT